GAAAGACGGTGTGATAGTGGGATTGTATCTAAAACCGTACGCGAATTACTAGTCCACTTCACAAGATCGAATTGACCCGATTTCATGAGCCTTATGACTTCGGCGGTGGTTAGGGTGGCCTCCTCCACGCTATCGACCGAATACACAAAATCATCCATATAAATCCGCTCTCAATTGCCCTCTTAGCTTTAGGATAAGAGGGACCTTCATCGTGAGCGAGCTGTCTCACCGTGCGTAACGCATGAAATGGGCTCGACTTTAAACCAAAACAAACGCGGTTAAATTCAAATACTATTAGAGGTTCCTTTGGGTTGAAGCGATATAAAATGCGTTGGAATCTACGGTCGCATTCACGGACCCCTATGCAAAGAAACATTTGGCGAATATCGGCGGATAGTGCTATACTAAACAAACGAAAATTGGCTATTATATTAAATAAACTGCCCTGTAAATTTTGCCCACTATAGAGGATATCGATAAGCGACAGGTGAGTGCTAGTTTTAGCACTAGCGTCGAGCACTACACGTAATTTAGATGTAAGTTTGTCCTCTCTAATGACTCCGTGGTGTGGTATAAAATACGACGGTGTGTCTTCGTAGTTATCTAATTTCGAAGCCACAAGCGATATGTAACCTTCTCTTATATATTCGTTAATGACGCCGTCGTAAGCTTCCTTTAACTGGGGCGAAGCGAGCATCCTACGCTCCAAGCTGTAGAAACGCTTTTCCGCCATTTGACGCGAATCGCCGAGAGATAAAACATCTCCTTTAAAGGGTAGCGCTACACTATATCTACCGTCGCGATCACGAACGGTCGTGCGGACGTAAATTTCCTCGCATAACCTGTCATCTGGACTAGCTATAGGTGGGACGTTCACCTCCTCCATCTCCCAAAATTTGCGGACTAACGACTCGAGCGGTTCGACAGCCATACCACAATAAGAGGTTGCCGAAATACTATCTAGGATGGGGGCGGAGCCAAGGATCACATAGCCCAATACGGTTTCCAGTGCGTAAGGCGCGGTATGCGAGGAGTTGCCCCTGACCTTATTGTTTAACAAAAGATAAGGGAAAAGCGATGCCCCAATGAGCATGTCTATGTTTCCAGGAACGGCGTAAGTGTCGTCTGCTAGAGGCAAATTTTTAAATTCAATCATTGCCGAGGTGTCAACCGAAACGGTTGGCAACCGTTCAGTGACCCTATCTACTACTAGTGCATTTATATCAAAGTTAACATTACGATCTATCCGAGAACAAAATTTTAAATTTATATATCCCTGTGTCGCTTTACTAGTACCTCCGATGCCTTTAACTACAGGACATGAAAGTGACCTATTTATTACTAAACCTAAGCGCTGACAACATTGTCGTGTTATAAAGCTATTTTGGGCTCCGCTGTCCAGCAGTGCACGGACGCTTTGTTCGTTTCCACGCGAATCCCTAACCAAAATACGCGCCGTACCCAGTAACACGGTTGAAGGAGGTTGTGCTCCCATCTTTGCCAATGAGCACAGAGCGACATCACCAGGTCGACCGCTAGAATCGTTGACCTTAGTAGGGGTGAATTCCTTATCCGCCTTACTTGACGCCGCTATGTTGCTATTTTCAAAATGTAATAGCGTGTGATGTTTCCTGGCGCACTTGCTACATACGGAACTCGAATTGCATTTTGCAACTAAATGCTTATCGCTTAAGCAGTTCAAACATAGGTTGTTTGTCTTTACTAACTTATAACGTTCGCTTGGTGAATATTTACGAAAAGTCGCACAATTATATAAATTACCGTGTTTATCTTTACATACTATACAAGTATGCTGGAGTGATGTCGGCGTAGCGGTTGCGTAAGTTAACGACCCTGCTATTTTAGGTGGTTGAGTCTGTCTACGGTCGACGCACCTTTTAATCTCCTGTTTAACGTTCGGAGAGCGCTGCATCACCTTTATTTGATCTCGCACGAACGATGCTAATGAATGAAAGGAAGGCATCTCCGAGCTACGATGCTCCATTTCAAACGCACGCACGGTGTCGGAGTCTAATTTCTTTAATGCTATATGGAGAAACACCACGTCCATAAGGTCATCAAACTTCAAATTCTTAAGTGCAGCCACCGATGCCACAAATTTATCTAGAAACTGCTCTAAGCCGTTGATGTTCGCGGATGATATAGGTTTAAGATCGAATATCTGGTTCAAATATTCGGAAGCTAACATTCTCCTATCTTCATATTTAGTTTTAAGCGTTTCAAATATTAATACGTAATTGTTTGCTGTAGGTGTAAAACCCGAGCAGATCGACTGTGCTCTGCCACTAAGTTTGCTAATTAAGTAATATAATTTTTCAGCGTCCGATAACGATGGGTTGTTGTGTATATTGTTTTGAAAACTACTGAAGAAGAAGGGCCACGTCTTAATATCACCATTGAATACCGGAATATCTATTGGCGGTAACCTAATTGAGTCACGAGGGCGTACCTGTATTTCCGGCTTTGCTTCGCTTTGAGATTGTAGGAGTTTTGCAGTTCTTTTTACGCGACACAACATATCTTCGAATGCCAGCAGCGGTTGGTAGTTCACTATGTATTTCGGGTCGCTTTGTAATTCCAAATGATTAATTTGGTCTAATATTCTTTCGTAATCTATCCGCAAAGTATCTATCGTTTCGATTTCATTCAAAAAAGGCTTCCCGCACTGCCTCTATATTAATGTTCTTTATATAATCACTTATATTCTACACACGCGAAAAGAGTATGTCCCTCTTGGCATAAAGCGTTTTAATTTTGATTTCACTTCCACTAACTGCCATCTTAAATTATTATAATAAAGTTATATTAATCACAATTAATCTCACACGCATAAACGACGTAGGATGAACACTCGGCGTGCCGTATTACGTAATCAGATCGAACACCCGTTGCGGTCGAGTCTACGCGTCGTTTGCTAAACCTAATAATTTTATCAAATTGTGGGGTAAGCGTATCAAACGGTTGCTATCACACCGTTTCAATTATTTAATAAGCTTTAAATTTAACCAAATACGAGCGCTATTAAATGAATAATTCTGTTTGCGAGTACCAAATCAAAATTTTAATTTAAACGAACACTATTTAAGTCTATTCCATAAATTACAGTGCGTTATCTAAACAATTAATTTAAAAATTCGACCAGAAAATGGTTGGATAACCACTAAACACCAATCCAGATCCTGCCGAAGTGACCATAAAATGGTGGAGCCACGTGTTTAAGGCTGCCGAAAATCTAGTTCCCCGGTCAAACCTCAAACCTATTACGCGAGATATTAACTAAAGTGGACTGTATTTGCGATTGCTTCTATGCTTATGTAAAGCGACTACTATAGCATGCGGTACAATGCACTCGCTCTTCCCTAAACTAAAACTATTACTTGCCAAATCGATGAAAGGAATCCTGCCTGATGAGGAGAACACAGAATTGGAACGGGTTAAAGCAGTTATTAAATATTAATCAGGCAGCAAATTAAGGAATGTTGACTCACCGGGGTTTCTTCTATCCTGTCGATCACTATAGCGACTTCTGGAACACTCCGGAGAGAGGCGGTGCGCGACGATATCTCACACGAGGTGAGGCGGGTTCCTGGAGCTCGACTGCTTCCAGGCCAAAGCGGTTTCCACTAGTGAGGTGTTTCCAAACGAGCGCGCGGGAAGAGAGAGGTTGTAGTTCAACGACGGCTGCGGCGGGAAGAAGAGAGCGCGCGTCGGTCGCGCGTGTTTTATATATCCTCGGGTCCGATGATTACGCGATGTTCTAGAATCGTCTTCTTTCCCCTCCCACCCCATCACCCCGATGTGCCGATAGGAGGGTACGAATGATATCGTTTGGGAAAGGGAATAATGATTCGGCAAGTTCCTACCGTCAAAAATAAAACGCGAATGGTTTTCCGCGCAACCATATATATTAAATCTAAAATATATCAGACAAATAAAAATAAATAAATCATACGATTATGGTACAAATAACAAAAACTAATGGTTCGATTATCGTATAAATTTACACTTTCTAAGTTTTCATCCTTTATAAATATTTTGTTTCGTAAACTTCTTCACAATATACGCCTATGCGTCACATTAAAAAAGTCTATGTGTGTTTATAAGTCTATATTATGTAAATATACTTACTAGTATGATTAGGCTAATAAAACATTTCAAAGAAAGTGAAATATATTTTTTATAATTTTAGTCTGATAGGATGACCACAATTTGTAGTATATTTTCAATATTGTCAAATAGCCTATTTTGCAATATTAGTGGAATTTGGGTTACCCTAAAGCCGCATACATTACAATTAATGATAAAAATATGATATTGGAAAAATTTTGCCTTTTAATTTTAAAAGTTTTATAGTGAATAAGTATTTTTTATAAACAATTATCGAATGATTAGCAACAGCCAAAATCTTAATACCTACTTGTCACTGGCAAAAGTATAATATTATTACTTGACACTGGCAAAAGTACAATGGTACGAATCCATTACTAAAGTAAAAAGAAGTCGATCATCAGACGCGCAGATTATATTCCTTTATATTTTTAAACGCGCGTCGCCAACCGCGAACGTAGGGTGAGTGGTGTTGTGTCTGTGTTAAATTACGATTGACGACTGACGACTATCTATTGGTTTGTTCAGGTTCAGGTTTGTTGGTTGTTGGCTTGTTGGAAGCTTACTTGTGCGATGTGCGAGTGGAGCTTTATTTACATTTTATTGACCTTTGCGTTTAATTAGAAAACAATTGTACTTTTAACATAAGTGTCGTGACTTCTTATTTTACTATAAAATTACAAAATAGTGTAACATTCAATATAAACAATCACAGCCGAAAAATCTGAAGTAGGTTTCTAAGTGCAGAAAGTATCTCAGTGCATAAACAAAATAGTAGTTCTAGTTTTCAGTGATCGAACGCCGTTGTTTAAAAACATAGTATTTTGCAAGATCGTTAATAACATGGGTTCGCGCGCGTGATGTCAAATAATATGGCCAGGGTGCCGGGCGCTGTGCTGTTGGCCGTGCTGTGCGCTGCGGCGCCGGCTCGCTCCTACTTACACTTGCCTCTCGGTAAGCTCCGCATGATCGCCTGCAACTTCAACTTCCCATCCTTCAAGCATGCACTAAAAATACGCATGATACAGTTCCATTATTAAAAGTTTTATACAAGACGTTCTTTTTTTATTTGATGAGTTACCTAATCCTAATACCTACTATAAATAATTAATCCCGCCAAAGAATATTGTTATTTTAATATTCTAGGTATGTAGTATGCAGCTCTAACAATTTATTTTAATGGTGATATGAAATAATTTTTAAAAAAAATTCTTTCATTTTTCTTGTAGTTTGCTTTTTCGCTTCTTTGTACACTTTATTTTTTTTTTCAATTAATATGATGTGTATAATTTATCTTCATTTAATTTAGCTTTTCAATTTACTATGGTTTTATTTTTATTTTTCATGTATTAAGTAATGATACTATTCTCAAAAAACTTAACAACTTGATAACAGTTTTTTTCATGAGATAAAAGAGTATTGTTGACATAAAATTGATAAGTAGTTTTCTTTAAATCTAAGTACCATGCAATGACATTGTTAAAATTTTGGGGAAGAAGGATATTATTTAGAAACTGAACTGGTACGGCTGTGTTTGTGTTTAAATGTATATGCAATATTATCTATTTTACATCTTTATAATGAATTTAATGTTTTAAATCGGAATGGATTTCAAGCAAACACTATTAAATTTAGCAGAATTTTAGGGTTCTGTCACTCAAGAAATAAAGCAGAACCTTATAAGGATCACTTTGTTTATTGTCTATGTATTTTTTTATTCAACTTGAATTACTATTAAGTACTATAGTCTGCAGTCCCTTAGAGGTGCAAAACTAAGCTTTTAAGTTAATGCAATCAAAAGTTACAGCCTGTTGTTTATTTTGGTACTCTCAAACTCACTCTTCAAAACCTACAGGGTATACCATGACCTGAAGAAAAAAATGATTTTTTTATTTGTATTTGTAAAGCTTAGGAAACATTCCTCTGTAGTCTCACTTATCTGACTTACTTTTGTCTTATAACAATGTTTGGAGCCTACCTTGCTTATATTTGATCCCAGGATTGATGAACTAATTAGTTATTATTATATATACATATTAAAGTTTAGGGTTCTATCCTCACGGTGTGTATCCTGCTTGCTCTTCCCTGTTTTTTCTTATTTTTATTATTACCATTAAATGTAGTGTATATTGACAAAGAAAAATCTAGCAACATATTAGAACCCATAAAGTTGTTTAAGAAGAAAAGAGAAAGGAACAGACCATTTATAAGTCATACCTACATACATTCACCTGGAAACCCCTTTTAGGGCAGTCTTACATAATAATGTATTACTAAATATATAGTTCAGGAGTTATTTTTCCCATGTCATATGCTGCAGCAATCACATAGATATAGGATATAGATACTAGTTAGTAGGTTTCTTCTATTAAAATACTTGATACTCCTCTGTTGAAAATGTTATTTCCTCGGAAGAATTTTAATAGCATTTTAATAAGTCTTGTATAATTGGTAGTGGTAGTGCATGGATGTCCACTATCCTATATAATCCCTTGAGTGTTATGAGAGGTAGTCGAGGGAAACAAAGTAGTAGATGGCAGCAGCGTGCTCAGAGACCTTATAAAAACATAAATATCTTGACTGATGTATCACTGATGTATGGAGGCAGGCAATGCACCAGCAAATTCCTCTGGTGTTCCATTTGTTCATGGGCGGCTGTAGTCACTTAGCATTCGGTGAGCCACATGCTCGTTTGTCCCCTCTTATATAAAAAAGAATACCTGCGCCTTTATAGGCTTTTTTATGTCTGAAAGACACGAGAAAGTTACTCCACTATCTATCTACTATACTACTACTCTATTCTCTAGACTCCTCGTATGTGAACTTGAATGTCAACTTATGTAGGGAACATGCTAATTGTTCCACACTGTACACCTAAATATATTTAAATTCTTAAATAAAATTATTCTTATCGGAAAAACTGTTATAATGTTCAAACTGGTTACGCATAGACAGCTACGACCATCCGCGCGTCTATGGGTGCCTCTATAGGTCCCATAGCGGTAGTGCCAAAACAGACCGACTCTTCAACCACGTCCAAATAGCTACAGATTCGTTGCTACAGCAGATTCCCTCCACAGAGATCGTTATCCTCGGCAACTTTAATCCCCATCACGCCAAATGGCTTGATTCACGTTTGACCAATCATGTGGGGAGATCTGTTCATGATTTTGGCCTTGGTATATGGTCTGACACAACTGGTTACTTCGCCTATGCGGATTCCAGATGTGGAGGATCATGCACCTTCCCTGTTGGACCTTCTGCTGACCTCTCACCCGGACGGATATCAGATTTCCGTCGACGCCGCTTTAGGCTCCTCGGACCATTGTCTTGTCCAGAGTGTGGTGCCACTCACGCTGAAATCGCAGTTGCATTCTGCAGGCTGCCGCTGTGTTTGGCACTATAGGTCAGCCGACTGGGATGGGATGCGGTCTTTCCACAGATTACCTCCTAATAGATACCGCATCATGGAATATTTGTTCTGTTTCGATTTCACCAAATTTCGGGTTGCGGGGGACGCGTCAAATGTGCTGTGATTGGATAATTCAAGGTTGAACTTAGAATGCTCCGAACCATAGTGATGGGACAGGGTTGGGACGTTGATCGATAAATTTGGGATTTATTGAATATTGATAAATAAATGAATTGATCAACTTTTATTTGAAATTTATTAAAAAATAAAACAGTGTATATAAATATAAGAATATATATATAAGAATATATATATAAGAATATATATATAAGAATATATATATATATATATATATATATATATATATATATATATATATATATATATATAACAATATATATATAAGAAATATATATATATATATATATATATATATATATATATATATATATATATATATATTCGTACATGTAATCTAATGATTTCTTAAATTTACGCGAACACTACACATTGAATACAACTGTATAATTATATGGATTTTATCGCGTTTAATTAATTTATGGTCACGGGGGAGGGGGGACTTAAATGTTTGACATCTCAATATCATAGTTAGTCCGGCTATCTTCACTTTTTGAATATTGATTTTTGGTCCCGATCTACATAAAACGAGCTTACAGTATCTTGAAGTCTTGCACTGGTATGCTTGGTTTTGGATAGATTTTATTAATTATAGGATACCAAGCAGATGGCAGCACCCAATCACCGACTGTGGCCGGCTTCACTCGGTCGCTGTGACGTAGGCTTGGGACCCAAAGCTTGTTGTCTTGCAATACTTGATTGACATGCTAAAGCTCGGCAGCCAGATGTATTCTGTCACAGATCCCTTGTGCTCTCTGAAACAAATATTTACCCACAGTAGCAAACTATGGAGAATGATGGTGAGATTCACCATTTAAATATCGGTTGGTATAGGCCTTTTTCCTATACATAGTATGACCAATAGTGTTATCAGGATTTCGGATGACTAAAACATCTAGGAAAGCTAAAGTATTATTTGCTTTTAACTCCATCGTGATTTGTATTTTGTAGCTTATGGAGTTAAGGTGGTCTAAAACTGCAGTTGCTTTGTCAGACGGTAAAATTTTGAAAGTGTCGTCTACGTGCCGTTTGTAGAATCTTGGATTTATAGGAGCAGTAAGTAGGTTTTCTCCTCAAAGTCCTCCATGATATATGTCGGCGACTATAGGAAATACAGGTGAGCCCATCGCTATACCATCAACTTGCTTGTAGAACTCTTCCTTCTACAATAGATAGTCAGATGTGAAGCAGTGTTTGAGTAATAGTGCATATTCTGCAAGCATCTTGTTATCTTGTAGCTTCCTAGTTACAATTGAGAAGCAGTTTTCAAAAAGTAGGCATGTGAATAGTGACTGACCACCAAAACTGACCATAGTTTCATTGTCAGCGAGATGTATGTCTTTTATCTCACTAACAAAATGGTGTGAATCATTTGTGTGTGTTCTGATATGTCCTTTTGGTGGTGACAGTATTTTTGCTTAGTGTTGCACCTAAAAGTAGTATTATTAATTAAAAAACCATACGGTACTTGTTTCAAAGTTAGATGTACTTAATAATAATAATAGTAGGATATTACTGAAGTTCATGCAACACTAGAATAACATTAATCACATTATAACTTTCACTTGTTTTGTGAAAATCCGTTAAAAATAGTTTAATTTCGACGTGTAGCATTCAATTCACAGTAACAGTAAATTCATTAAATATTAGAATATCATGTTTCAATCAACCACTTAATGCTATTACTTATTGTGTAATTTTCACCATTGGTATTATACTTTTTAAAAAATGTAAAATTCCATGCTAAAACTGGCAAGTATAGAGATAGTATAGCGGAATCCAACAGCCTTATACAGTTTTTCATAATATGAAGATTGTCTTCTGTGAAGTGTCTTGAGCATAGCACACTATTTTTGGTGGGCAACCATTGATCCCCTCGACATGTAGCGTCGATCCACATCTTTTCCTTTCGAGGCATTTAGGAAACCTATAACATATAGGTACCACAATTATACGCCACTATTTGTATAAAATAATGACTACAAAAGAAAAGTAAACGATGACCAAACAAATATCGACTTATAAATCACAACACTATCGATACACGTGCTGTCGTTAGACAAAGACAACTATTTTAATTTACGTAATGAGTGAAAGGGACATATTAAAAAAGACATCAACGGGTGCTGAAATGATATCACTTTGCAACATTTATTATCCAGTGTAAGTTGAACTCCGGTCCATTTGAAATAGGTTAACGTGATAAGAATAAAATTTACTTACCGATGAAATATTATGCAATCTTTTTGATAACTGGATGTCTTAGCTGACTTGCCACACCATTTCACTGCATAGGAAGCCATTTGTAATGTATTTTGGATACCAAAATTATTTTTAAATTTTCAAAAACTCGGACGTGCCTACGGGTCACAAACTTGGTCGACTACCAGCTACAGCAAGTATG